TAGGGTCAGTGTCACTACTGGTAGCATGAGGCGATACCTGGACCCTACAGAGGTTGCACAGGCACTCCAACTCCTCCAGGATGGCACATCAATACGTGCCTTTGCCAGAAGGTTTGCTGTGTCTCCCAGCACAGTCTCAAAAGCATGGAGGAGATTCCAGGAGACAGGCAGTTACTCTAGGAGAGCTGGACAGGGCCGTAGAAGGTCCTTAACCCATCAGTAGGACCAGTATCTGCTCCTTTGTGCAAGGAGGAACAGGATGAGCACTGCCAGAGCCCTACAAAATGACCTCCAGCAGGCCATTGTCTCTGACCAAACAATCAGAAACAGACTTCATGAGGGTGGCCCGAGGGCCCGACATCCTCTAGTGGGCCCTGTGCTCACTGCCCGGCACCGTGGAGCTCGATTGGCATTTGCCATTGAGCACCAGATTTGGCAGGTCTGCCACTGGCACCCTGTGCTTTTCACAGATGAGAGAAGGTTCACCCTGAGCACATGTGACAGACGTGAAAGGGTCTGGAGAAGCCGTTTAGAACGTTATGCTGCCTGTAACATCGTTCAGCATGACTGGTTTGTTGGTGGGTCACTGTTGATCTGGGGAGGCATACCTATGGAGGGACGCACAGACCTCTACAGGCTAGACAATGGCACCCTGACTGACATTAGGTATCGGGATGAAATCCTTGGACCCATTGTCAGACCCTACGCTGGTGCAGTGGGTCCTGGGTTCCTCCTGGTGCACGACAATGCTCGGCCTCATGTGGCGAGAGTATGCAGGCAGTTCCTGGAGGATGAAGGAATTGATACCATTGAATGGCCCCCACACTCGCCTGACCTAAATCCAATAGAACACCTCTGGCACATGTTTCGGTCCATCCGACGCCACCAGGTTGCACCTCAGACTGTCCAGGAGTTCAGTGATGCCCTGGTCCAGATCTGGGAGGAAATACCCCAGGACACCATCCGTCATCTCATTAGGAGCATGCCCTGACGTTGTCAGGCATGCATACAAGCACGGGGGGCCATACAAATTACTGAGTACCATTTTGAGTTGCTGCAATGAAATTTCAGCAAAATGGACTAGCCTGCTGCATCATTTTTTCACTTTGATTTTCAGGGTGTCTTTGAATTCAGTCCTCTGTAGGTTGATAATTTTAATTTCCATCAAACGATGTGGCATCCTTTCATTCCTAACACATTACCCAGTCCATATCAGTATAGGTAGTATAGATTTGAGCAATGTATATACAGTTAGGTCCGGAAGTATTTGGACAATGACAGAGTTTTTGTGATTTTGCCTTTATACACCACGACAATGGATTTGAAATAAAACAATCAAGATGTGATCAAAGTGTAGACTTTCAGCTTTATTTTAAGAGGTTCCACAAAAAAATGGTATTTACCATTTAGGAACTACAGCAATTTTAAGCGAAGTACTTCCATTTTCAGGGGCTCAAAGGTATTTGGACAAAGGTATTTGGATAATTTGGAAGTGACATAATTGTAAATATAACCATAATTTTAATACTTGGATGGAAATCCTTTGCAGTCAATGACTGCCTGAAGTCTGGAGCCCATGGACATCACCAAGTTTCCACTGAATTTCCTCCCTGGAGATGCTTTGCCAGGCCTTCACTGCAGCCACCTTCAGTTGCTGCTTGTTTGTGGGTCTTTCTGCCTTCAGTCTTGTCTTCAGTAAGTGAAAAGCATGCTCTATTGTGTTGAGATCAGGTGAATGACTTGGCCATTGAAGAATATTCCATTTCTTTGCCTTCAAAAAGTCTTGAGTTGCTTTCACAGTTTGTTTAGGGTCATTGTCCACCTGCACTGTGAGGCGGCGTTCTATCAGTTTTGTAGCATTTGGCTGAATGTGAGCAGAGAGCATAGCCCTATACACCTCAGAATTCTTGCTACTTTTGTCAGCAGTCAATAGACACCAGTGAACCCATTCCAGTGGCAGCCATACATGCCCATACCATAACACTGCCTCCACCATGTTTGACGCATGATGTGGTATACTTTGGATCATGAGCTGTTCCTTTCTTTCACCATACTTTTCTCTTCTGGTACAAGTTAATCTTGGTTTTAGCAGTCTAAAGAATCTTATTCCAGAACATGGGAGGCTTTTTTTTTTTTTAGATGTCCTGTTCTTGAACGTTACCAGTGGTTTGCACCTTGTTGTAAACCCTCTGTATTTGCATTCATGAAGGCGTCTCTTGATTGTAGATTTTGACAATGATACGCCTACCTTCTCCAGAGTATTCTTGACTTCTGTTGATGTTGTGAAGGGGTTTTTCTTCACCAAGGAAAGGATTCTGTGATCATCCGCTTTAGTTGTCTTCCGTGGTATTCCAGGCCTTTTGGTGTTGCTGAGCTCACCAGTGCATTCCTTCTTTTTAAGAATGTACCAAATTGTTGATTTGGCCACAAAGTTTTTTCCATCTCTCTGATAGGTCTCTTTTGCATTGACATCTCCTTGGACTTCATATTGGTAGCTCCAGTCGAACAGCTGCCAAATGCCATCTCAATACCTGATATCAACTCCAGACCTTTTATCTGCTTCATTTCTCTTGAAGTAACGAGGGAATGGACCGCACCTGGTCAATTAACTTCTTGTCAGTCAATTGTCCAAATACCTTTGAGCCCCTGAAAATGGAGGTACTTTGCTTTAAATGTAATTCCTAAATGGTAAATGGCATATTTTTGTGGAACCTCTTAAAATAAAGCTGAAAGTCTACACTTCGATCACATCTTGATTGTTTTATTTCAAATCCATTGTCGTGTATAAAGGCAAAATCACAAAAACTATGTCATTGTCCAAATACTTCCGGACCTATCTATATACATATACATATATATATATATATATATATATATATATATATATATATATATATATATATATATATATATATATATATATATATATATATATATATATATATATATATATATATATATATATATATATATATATACTAATAATACTGCTCACGTTGAACTTGTTTGAAATGTTAAATGTGCTGAATGCACAGAGACCCAGTGTTATACAGAGATGTAGGATTCCTGATGTGCAGGATTTTTTTTTTCAAGTAGAGCTTCAGCATCGCTTATCATCAGCCAGTGGAGCCGAGGGAAATGAGCTGACAATGATTATTTTAAAGTATTTTGTTTACTAACATTATTTCAGTTCCACCAATGGTCTTTAAATTCAGATGCTGCTGGTTCTACATAATAGTGCAGATTTTGTTTTGAGGTGCATGATGGAGAAGGTAATGGCTTTATTTCCCAAGCATGAATGTTTAGTACAAATGGCAGACATCGTAACACATTGGCTGAGAGTTGAATTTTGCACCTAGCGTTGCCATGGTGACCAGCACACCAATCCTGTTGTGCTCTAAAAGCCGTTGGAGACATATACATGATGGAGAGGTTCTCCACATAGCCAATCTCAGTCTGAACTGGAGAAACACAGCCACACGGGGACATAAACCACACAGCCAAAATAGATGAAAGGAATCGATTTAATAATTATGTAAGAAAAAACTCCAGTCCGCAATTTCTGTGCACAGTCCCTGTTAGAAGGGCCCCTGACAGTGGGAGAGATAGTGGATGATGCATCACCGTGTTGCAGCAAGAGGAACTAGGACATCATTTTGGGCATCACTTTAGAAGACTTAGTCCTTTTTCTTATAAACAGCAATTTTCCTATGCATTTTGAAAATTTTGAATCATACACTCTGCTTCCATTGTAACAAGTAGATTTCCAGATGAAAAAATGGCTGTGCATTTCACTCGAATTTTGTTACTGTAAGTTTCCCTTGTTTCTGTGATCATGCTGAAGCATAGTTACAGTCACCAGCCAACCCGAATTTGATTATTTACCAGTGAGGGCATACCCCGTGTGTTTCAGTTTGTGTTATACTACAGCATTTTTAGTGATTACATACCTTAGGAATTAAAAAGTATGGGATGTCAAGTCTTTCAGTTTATAATTATATTTAATGTTGTGGATCATCTGCAAGACAAGGTAGTTCATGTTATCACTTATGTTACATCAGCTATGAACAGTCGCTCCCTCTTCAGCTTCTCATTTTCTCTCTTTTTAATATATTAATAATACAAAAAGTACAGCTTGTCATGTTACTGTGAAACTGGAAAGACTGTCCTGAAGACTTTCCTGTGACAGAGAACCTACTGACTCTTACGCGTTGACAGTGGAGACGCTTTCCATAAATGTTAAATAAACCTCCCCTTACAGAAAGCTTCACCATATCAATGATTATAATTTTTTTTTGTTAAATAAAGACATATTTTTGGTGCCTGTGAATTAGCTGGTATTACAGAAATGATGTATTAGAAATGATTGTCCTTGCAGCCAGCACTCTGGTAACAGCCATGCTGTTATACATTCTGACCAATCAGATTTTTAGAATTCAACAATGCTGTTGTATGTATTATATATGTTATATACAGTAGGTTACATATTGTTTTGTATATTTAAAATACTAACTAGATCATAGTACATGTAATCCCTGATGCCCCACAAATGTATTCTTTTCTACAGTCTGTGTGCTCTTCCTTTTTTTTCCATTTTGGAGTTGATATGCATGTGCCACATCTAGCAGTCTAAAATGTAGGATTATGTTTTACAGAGACTAAGCCAGCCTGTATCTTCAATGGAGTGGAGTATCGTGATGGTGACATGTTCAGGATGGATGCTTGCCATTTCTGCCGCTGCCAGGGCGGTGTATCAGTGTGTTTCACGGCACAGTGTGGCGTCCTCCACTGCGAACGCTACTACGTACCAGAGGGAGAGTGCTGTCCTGTCTGTGAAGGTGACCACAATCACACAACTATTATAGTGCTTCAAAGGTTGCAAACGTAACTAAGAATGAATCAGATGATGCATTTGTGTCACATTGGGAATATTGTAATTAAGAGGTAATGAACCAGTGAATTGGTAAATATGACTCAGATACTCATATTGTCAAGTTGGGTCCCTGGAGGACTAGTGGTTAGACTTCGGCGTTTTCACCGCCGTGCCCTGGGGTCGATTCCCGGCCAGGGAGCCAGCCACTGAGGTTACACACGATAGTGCACTCCCTGTGCCGGTCCCAAGCCTGGATAAAAATTGGTGAGGGTTGCGTCAGGAAGGGCATCTGGCATAAAAACGGTGACAAATCAAATATGCTGACCGGTGATCCGCTGTGGCGACCCCTAATGGGAGCAGCCAAAAGAAGAAGAAGAACAACAACAACAACTCATATTGCCAAGTTGATATCTTGCATATTTTAAGGTAGAGTAATACTACCAATGGACTGAAACCCCACACTGCACAGCCGCAAGTCTACACTGTCAAACACAGCCATTAGATGTACATTGTGATCAAAGTGGCCCAGCCCTACCTGTAACTACGTGTTATTAGCAGCAACACAACAGCCATTTAACAAGCTCTTGAACCAGTAACTCCGTAAATAACGGGTTGCGTCTGTGTAAAGAGTTTTCAATGGATCCACATGCAATTTTAGACTGAATGACCAGTTCCCTACTCTGAAGCAAAGAAGAACAAATTAATACTGATATTTTTATTAAAAAAAAAAATCATGATTTGGATTCACTAATCAATCTACAGTCATAGAATTGTAATGAACAATTTAGCCCAAGGGCTTTTTTGCATCTTCTATTTAATGTCTGTTTGAAATTGAATCAGATGATGATTATCCAAGCAAGAATGCTAATAAACGCCCGCACCCCTGGAGCAAGCTGGTAGGGCAATTAAATGGCAGCAGGAATTTTTCAAAAATGAAATAAATTAAAAATGGATCATGAGGGAAGACCCTATCATCTGAACTTCACACAGGGACATGATGAATTCTTTGCATAATTTTTATTCTCCCAATTAAACAAGCATCCTGGGTTAATTAGTTCAGGGAACTGCTTGTTGTTTTACTTTATAGACCAACCAAACGTAGAGTGCCTGGGAGCGTGTAATTTGGATTGTTTTGCATGTCTCTTGGGTAGACCTTCATCCCACCATATTACTGCCTCATATTAGTTCCCTACCTAATAGCTGATACTATTAGTATTATCAGATTATTTTTATGTGCAGATTAGTTTTGTAATGTTTTTTCAGCACTCTGGTTAATTAAGATGAAGCCCCCGTTACATACTACAATATTAGTCTGGGTAATTTCATTGCTATGAATTTTATAAGTCAGCAGCATGTTGATGCATGTGGAGAGTTGGATTTCTGTACATGTAAAGAGCAGTTATTTTCCAGCAGAGCTGATAGTGTGTGCATAAATGGTTCTGATGGTTGTTTTAAATAAATCAAACGGTCTTCCATCTCTTAGTTACTACCTCCTGTTAATTTATTCAAATTAGAGGTGCTGTTTCTATAACTCTGTATTACTTCATTGTTTGTTTTTAATTCATGCACTGCATTTCCCTCAAAGATCTTGAATAATGTATGCTAATTAGCAGGTGCAATAGGATAAATAAGTTGTGGGTGATTTGCTAAGAACTTTACAAAGATTTACAGATTTAGAAAGAAATTATATCATATCCAAAGTAGTGGGAAGAACATCTATTTGTTCTTGATAGCCGTGGCAAGTCAAGATCTCAATGGAAATTAAATGGAAGGTAAAACTTGCCACACATACAATTACGTGTCCAGTATAATACTGATTAATAGCGGTGAAAAACTGTTCAAACTTAAAGAGTGTAGGTTTTGTTCCTAAGATAGGCGTGAATGAAAACCTTTTCAGAGTTTTACGGTCTCTGTTTAAAATCTGTTAGCACTGGAGGTGTGAATCTGCAGTGAATATCTAATATGGAAACCAAGTTTGAACCAAGTTGATAATCATCATATCATTTAAGAAACTTTCTGATCATTTCGAGATCCTGAGGCATAGTTGTGATAAATGTTCCAGATATTAAAACTTAGTAAATTTCATCTAGTGGAAACAGACTTCTGCAAATATAATACCTACTCTTTGGTCATACTGATTTGTGCACACAAATCACCTTACCCACAGGGACTTTCAGGCTTAGTGTATTGTATGATATGTGCACACAATCACTTTTCCCACGGGGACTCAGACATAGTATATTGCATTATGGGTGTTTTACATGTGCAAACTTTAGTAAATCCGTGCTTCAGTGTAACAGTTTGGCAAGACATTGTGACAGTGTACAAGTCTGAGTAACAAGGTTGACTCATAAAAAGAGAAAGGGGCAATGTCAGGGATTAAATCCTCTCTCTTTTTTCTGTCTGTTTCTCTGCAGATCCTATCTTCCCTGCGCTGAATTTCGCCGGCTGCTATGTGAATGGCCAGATCCTGGCTCATGGGGATCACTGGAGAGAGGACGACTGCACATTTTGTCAGTGTGTGAGTGGCGAGGCCCGCTGTGTAGCTGCTGCCTGCGGCCATAACTGCCTCCACCCGGTCACAGTGCCTGGAGAATGCTGTCCTGTGTGCGAGGGTAAGGACAGGGTGTGTGTGTGTGTGTGTGTGTGTGTGTGTGTGTGTGTGTGTGTTTGTTGTGTCTTTCCATCCCTCCCTCCGTCTGTTCTATTGTTCATTGTTCCTAATATACTTGTTTGTAGGTCACCCTGTGTGTTCACATACGTGGGGCATTTACAACTACTTCTGACCAAATAGTGTTTTTTTTGTAAACTCTCTATGTAAAGATTTACCAGATAAGAAAACCTATAGTTGTTATTAAAACCCACCCAAATCTAATCACATCAGCTAAAAAATACACAAAACACCAAGTTCAGCTTTACCCTGCTAATTTTCTCTCTGTACTTCTGTTTGTCTCTGTAATGATGCACTAACTTTCATTGCTTACACCACAGCATGCGATTATTGCCACTGATCTGTATTAGCTACGGCACTGCAGGCCTGAAGCAGTACACATGCTTACACCACACCGATCTTGTCTGCCTGCTAAGTGAAGGCTGCAAGTGAGAGCTTTGCATTGTTTTGCAGCAAATTGTAAGCTTTGATCAAGTAGATTTGTGTATAGATTTCCACCCAGACATTTGGGATTGCTGTTTCAATCTAGGGTTTTATTTTGGCTTGTGTTGAAGGCAAGGCTTCAGACCGCTTCAGGCTGTACTTGCTGACGATACACCCACACACAAATAACAGAGAGACAGGTGACGGATGAGTGACAGCTCTGTCAGATGATGAATCTCTTCTGGGATTGGCTCGAGCCACAGTCACAGAAACATCGTCTCTCAGGTCAAGATGGAGAATATAGATTTGATATAAGCGAGATACGCTGCCTGGAGCTTCAGTGTCTTCTCTCCACTTTATTCTCTGCACGATCACAGTCACAGTTCCTCACCGTGATTTAGGAGTGTGACTAAACTCTAATCAGCTCTTACTTAATGCAGCCGTCCTCAGTTCTGTTCATGAGGACAACTTGCACTTTCCCTGCACATTTCTCACCTTACTCTTTCAACAGGGTAAACACACAAACAATGCTATGTCTGGCAAAAAAAAAAAAAAAAAAAAACAGTTGTGCAGTGCCTGGGGTTTCTCATATTGATTCTGAAGGAGGGAAAATTAGACCTAATATTGTTTTAAAAATAAGACACTTCAGCTGAAACTATAAACAATAATAAAGACTATAATGCTTTGTGTCTGGAGGGATCTGGTGGTATATTTAAACCTCCTCCAGCAGCTGCTGGGATCCGTCTCATTATAAGCCCTGCTCCTGCCTAAATGTCTCTGGGCAGGTGTATGTAATAGGGTTCTTGTCTGTTCTGCTGTCTGCTTTTTCCAATTAAAGATCTGCATGAATTCAGTACGCTACTGTGCAGATCAATACATTATGAAGAAATCCTGGAAATGAATATTACACATCAGCAAGATTTTACGCTTGTTCATAACCTTCCATTATAATCAGGATGCAAAAGGTCCAATTAGAAATGCACTGCCCTACTGAGAAGAACTTCCCTTGACAGAAGGGATGGGAGAGAAGAAGAGAAGGATGAATGAAAGGAGGCAGCAGCATGGCCGCAGGCGTGCTCTTGTATGTGCGTGGGCAGCATCTCTCTCTCTCTCTCTCTCTCACTCTCTCTCTCACTCAAACCCCTTTTCAATTAATCTTTTATGTGACTGTCCAGCCGTGAAGCAATTAGAGATGTGGGACTTACTGATTGTGTAGTGCACCTTCACATATACTATATGAGCACACACACACGCACACACAGGTTGGCCGGCAGACCACAGAATACTTCATACATAGATTACTAGAATTTCACTGTAATCTATACACCTTTCTGTATCTCTCTTTCTTTCCCCAAACTGCCATCAGGCTCAGATCAAAGAATGTCAGGCTAGCTCCATGTCATTGTGCTCACTGGAAAGTTAGATCTATCATGCTTTGCGGGCCGCGACACTGCTCATCCGACTCCAGTCTTTCCTGCACTGCTCAGTAATTTGATGTGAGCGCACTACCCTATATTTCGCCGTAAGACAGTGTGTATTTGGGTAGATCTTGTGTGGGGCTCGGCGCTAAAGGCAGCTGTTTAAATAATGATAACCCTCACTGCATTTAAAGACCATATTCTCTGCTCCAGGCGCAGGTCTGTACACTGAAATTTCGAAGAAGCCTTTCTTATAGAAGGTGGGTTATATTGATTTTGCAGGACGTTTGTGGTATTATGTTACCTGTGTATTGAATGCACTGTGCTATGCTGTGCCCTTCTGACCTTGTTCTTCATTTATTTTGTCCATAATAACACAGACAAACAGAGGGAGAGCCATTTATTGTGTGATCCCAGAGGAGAGGAGGTCAGAGGAAGGCTGTGTTTTGCTCTAAGCCCCCGTGCATGTAGGCCTTCCATTCGTGAGCCCATTATAGCACGAGGCAGTGAGGAATAAAAGCCATGGTGTAGCGATATCCCCTCTCCCACCCAGACAGATGTCTTTTAAAAATAGCCGTACCTGTTGGCAAGGACTAGAGAACTCTTTGTCCATTCCGTTTGCTCATTTCCATAAGGCATGTGTGTGAGACTACACCATGGGAGGAGGTGGTGAGATTGCCACAGGCT